TGCAATAATACTCTTGGGATCCAATTGCTATATAAATCTTTCCAAATTCCCTTTCTGAGACTGTAGGAGGTTAATGAGGCTGAAGTATTGAAGCTACTGGAGTTTTCCAAGCATCCAGTGAATATAGGGGGAATTTTCTAAGCCAGGAGCATCAGCAGGTTAAAGAGCGAGAGGAAAGGGCAGGTTAAAATCAGGGTTTGGGGCACATCTGCCCAACCTGCTCTGGGCTTTGGGCTGCTGTAACCAAACACCCTCCTATAAAATCAACAAAGTCCTCAGGGGATTTCAAGCAAATCTATTGTTTCCCCTTTTTAAAGTTAAGAAAAAAAAAAAACCATGCCCAGGCTTTTCGGCTGAGGAAGAGGGGCTGAGTTTGATTGAAGGCTTTAGGAATAGAAGAGCTGATTAGTGCTACGTTATTTCAACAGCAAAAGGAGTTTGCAGACAACGGGGCTATAGGGGGTGACTATATATACATACGTCGGTCAGAGGGTGCCTGCAGGCCCCGGGGATGCTGCTCGTCTGCATCCACGGAGCCGAATCCTGCTCCCACCAGATTGCTTTGCCTTGTGATGGGGCAAGGTGATTTTTTAATCACTCGCTGCCCCCATCCGAGGGCGTTTCGCGGCTGTTTGTGCGGCGAGCAGGGAGTTGTTTTCCAAACAGAAACTCTAGAAGAACAACTACAAATAGATACTCGGGAAAAACTCTGTTAGAACAGAGCTGGACTCATGGTTTTTCTTGGAATCGGGAAAGTTTTGCTCCTTTCGGGTGCCTTTGAACAGAGGGCCTTGCAGGATGGTGTATAAAGGCACTACGGCTGCTTAAATGAATGCCGTCCCATTCCACAGCTGGTGCAGGAATGAGTCTGAGGTTTAGGCTTAAATTTTCATGTGAACCCTCTGCCCCTTTCTGTGCAAGCATTTGCCTCTGGATCTGCCCTCCCTGTTACATCTTAACTGCCATTTTAGAGCCCTCGTTAGAGCAGCTTTGCAAAGCCGATGAAAATGTCTTTGACATTCCCTCCATTTTTCAACAAACTGAACGTGCATCAAAGTGGAAGGTTTAGAAGAAAACCCTCAAAGCCGTCAAAATAAAAAAAAACCACAAACCAAAAAACAATACTTTTATTGTCTTCACTTTTTTCCCCTGAAAACAGCATTTCCCCAAAGAGCTCTGGGGATTACTCTGGGACGTAAATCACTTCCTTAAGTAGGAACAAGCAGAGCATCAGCTCGCTGGAGCTGGGGTGGCGGATGCAGAAGCGGTCCCCTCACAGAGCATCCCTCCAAGGCAGCGATGCTGCTCCCCGTTCCTCCTGCCAAAACCCCCACCCTGGCAGCATTCTGATCCTAAAAAGGATGAACTCACTCAGGCATCCATCTCTCATCGTAACAGCGCGGGGGGGATTTGCCAGCAAAGGAGCAAGAGGGGGGCACGGAGGAGGCTGAGGTTTGGCTGTGACCCCGTGGATCCGTGGGGAAGGGCGTCCTGAGCGAGAGGGAGAAGCAAGCAGCCAGAAAACTCGTGGGAGCCAAGACACAACCGAAGGGCGTAGACTCCTGCCAGGGATCTCCAATCAGGCCTGGGAGGCTTGGCTGCCTGCCGTATAAATGCAGAGCCGGGAGGGTGGGAAGCCAGCGCGCCTCTGGGCAGGGAGAGGAAGAGGAGGATGAGTGCCGGGGTGCTCCCCGCAAGGAGGCAGAGAGCACCCAGCAGCACCCCAGCAGGGATGAGCCGGACCCCGATGGCAGCCCAGCAGACTGTGCCGGTCTCCTCCAGGCCCCGGACATCCTTCCTCATCCAAGACATCCTCTGGGACGGGGCAGAGCGGGGAGCACAGCCGGAGCGGGGCAAGAGCGGAGGGTCTGGCAGCCCGGAGGACGGTGACCCAGGGGCAGCCACAGCGCAGGGCAGCGAGGGCAGTTCAGCCCCGGGGGCTACCCCAGGGCACCCCCCCGGGAGCCCTCGTCCCCCAGGAGCATCCCCAGCCCAGGTCCGAGGAACACCCCACGAGGCGGACGCAGGTAAGGGGGTGGAAGCTCCTGGCTGAGCCCGTTGGCTGGGGAATGGATCGGCAATGTCTACGCTCGGGTCAACCGAGGGGCAGGATCCAGACCCGGCTGCCTCGAGCACCCCAGAGCCAAATAATCCGTGCTTTAAATGCCAGGGAGTATCTGTGCTCTAGCAGCGGGAAAGTAAGAGAAATAGCAACTGCGTGCAAACCTTTCGCCAGGCGCTTCAAATAACTCAAAGGACTGAATCTGCCTAAAATGACGTTTTAAAAAAACAAACCAGTCAATGGATTTCTGCGATATCGTGGGAAATAAAGTTCCCTCTTAATGCAGAAGGTCCCCAGCGAGGGCACCTTAGGGCTGCTAGCTCAGAGAGGCAGTTTGTGCCCGTCCTTCAGCGCAGCGATGCTGCCGCAGCCGAGCTCGTCGGCGCCTCCGGTCCGGGGATATTTGGAAAGTCCCCGTGTTGAATTTGTGCCGTTTGCAGCAGGGCTCCACTTTCCCACGTGCCCAGCAGTGTGTTCCTGCCTGTACCGCTGCACATCCCCTGGTTTATTAATAACGATCCTGCTCCTCTTGCCCCAGCATCCCTTTCTAGTATGCAACCGCTAAATTCATTGCAGGCAGAAGCAACATACCAAAAATCACACTCGGAAGCAGGTTTTTTTGAGCAGTGCCTCTCTGATGGTAGCAGCGCGAGCGTGGCCGGGGCTGCGGGAAGGGCTCAGCCTCTCCCTGCCCAAGCAGTCCTGGGCTGAGTTGCAATAGCCAAAAAGGCAATTTGGAACTCTCTAGCGACCGGCTCTCGCTTGCTAAGAGCCCTTGCCAGGGGAATTTTGGCTTTACGTTTCAATTCTATTAAAAGAAGCTTCTGTATAAAAGCGAGTTCAGAAACAGCCACCAGGCTGATTATTACGAAAATCATTAAAAGCCGTACCAAATCCCCCGGAAAGCAGCTAGTGTAAATCAGCGCGGCTCTGGGGATTCTGGTGGCACTACCACGACTTACACAAGCTGGGAATTAAGCCCGTTGTTTCTATCTTGAGCATTATGCTCACATCTTAAGAAAATATACTATGAAATGACTAAAGAAAAAAAAAAAAAGCCTATTTCCATCCCAAGCTGGGTAATACACAAAAAGGAACTAACTACATAAATAAATTGACTTGAGAAGTTTTAACAGTTATAGGTGACACTTCCCAGGGAGCTCAGCACCTTCCTGGGTTGCGGCTCAGGCGACTGAACGGTGCCACGAGAAATAAGTTGGAGGCAAACACTGAGATGCTGCTTTGGAGTTGTGATCCCAGTCCGGGTCTGCAGCTATATGTGTAATGCCAGGCCTGAAGTTTTAAAAATCCGCCCCAAAATTTCTTGGTATTGCCTTGGAGTCGTGAAAGAGAAAAGAGAGGAATTTGCTTCTGATGCTTTCTAACTGCAGCCTGCTTTCAGCTGCACTGATTTCCCATTTCTGAGTCCATAGCTTGAGGACAGAAACTTATTTTCTCGGAGGACTGGGATTTTTGCACAGACAGAGGAGGACATTTCAAAGAAGTGCCTAATAATATGAATTCTGCCATAAAAATCTCAAGAGCTGTCGATGCCATAATGTATGTAACAACAGTACCTTGAGGTTTTAGGCAGACCTTCACCAGCATTGCAAAATATCCCTTTGTATTATTTTAGTCCCTTGAATGTATGTGCATATTGAATGCATGCTTATATGAATTAAGAAAGTGTGATTTAGGAAGAAAAAATTTCCTTATATGACTTTAAGACAGCGTTCACTCCATTAAATGAAAATATTTCCGAGATAATATGAATATTTTGCTTTCTGGAAGGGAAAAAGCAAGGGATTCGGGCAATTTCCAAGCGGGTAATTCTCAGCTCTTTCCTCCTGCAGACGTCACGGCGGAGACCTACCTGTCAGACTGCGACCCCCCGCTGCAGCCCCTGCCCAGCGCCCAGCGCCCCCCCAAGCAGGCGAAGCGTTCTCGGGCAGCGTTCTCCCACACCCAAGTCATCGAACTGGAGCGGAAATTCAGCCACCAAAAATACCTCTCGGCCCCCGAGCGAGCCCACCTGGCCAAAAACCTGCAGCTTACCGAGACCCAGGTGAAAATCTGGTTCCAGAACAGGAGGTATAAAACCAAGAGGAAACAGGTCGCCTCCGAAATCAGCAGACTGGACACGCGTCTGGCGGGGCAGAAAGCGGCCGAGCACCCCGGAGCATCGCTGCTCGCTCTGCGGGGCGGCTGGCACTACCTGCCTTGCCTCTACTACTTGAACGGCTGGAGTCCCTCCTGGTGGTAACCGCTTTTTTTAAGCAGAAAGCATCCTTTTCTC